AAGGAAGGAAGGAAGGAAGGAAGGAAGGAAGGAAGGAAACCCTACTGGATAAAAGTCTACCTCTGGGACTTAGACTCTTTTTTGTCCAGAATATTTTACTACAAAAACAAAATGAAATTAGGATGTGAGTAGGAAGCACGGAGAGGTTTGAACAGAGGTCGGGAGAGCGGACGCTGGATTCAACTTCTAGATTCAACAAGTCTGTCGACTGGAACTCGCAGGACAGGCGTTGGTGTGCCTCGTGGTGACACCACCCATCTCGGGTTGGTTGGCTGAACCACCCGCTACAGGAGACGGCAGCTCCTAATGCGCATGTCCAGCCGGGAGCGCATGCGCGGTCTAGGCATCTCCTAATGCGATAAAGTGCGCGCCTCGAGGACGCGCCGAGCTGGGGATTTCCTCACCGAGATAGAGACAAGTTAGGTGCCAAGTCGACCAGCCACCCGATCAGCTGGCCCCGAGCTCGGACCTGATGCTGGACGGGGGAGGGGAGGGGGAGCTGAGACCGGGAAGGCCTGTCTGCCCCCTGGTATCAGAGGCGGCTCTGCCAGACCCACCAGGATGCCTGGGATGCCCGGCCCCTGCTCCCAGAGGGGTCAATGTCTGGTTTAAAGGGACCCTTGGAAGGCGAGGGTAGAGGGTATGACCCAGATCCACAGGGACCAGCTGAGCCAGAGAGAAAGATGCCACTTGGGAAAGCAGGATTCCGGAAGGAGACGGGACGCTCCCAGCCCCTGGAAAACCCAGGACCAGACCCATTGCCCGGCCACGCCCCGAAGGCGCTCGTCCATCAAGACGCGGAACTTGGAAGTAACTTCTTTGTTTTGTAGGCGGATCCTGGAGTGGACCTGATGCAGAAGACATTTCTAGGAGCTTCCTACTGGCCCTCTCGCTGCCAGTAGTGAATTCTCCAAGGCAGAGAGGCCAGGAGGAAACAGAGCTGCTTTTGGAATGGGGGTTTGCGGGGGAGGGTCGGATTGTTCATGTTAATGGTGCCTGTTGAAGAATAGTGGGGGGGCGGGAAGGGCGCCTGGGGGGCTCAGTCGGTTGAGTGTATGACTTCGGGTCAGGTCATGACCTCAGGGCTCGTGAGTTCGAGCCCCCCCGTTGGGCTCTGTGCTGACAGCTCAGAGCCTGGAGCCTGCTTGGGATTCTGGGTCTCCCTCTCTCTCTCTGCCCCTCCCCCACTCGTGCTCTGTCTGTCTCTCTCTCAAAAATAAACATATAAAAAGGAGGAAGAAGCAAACTGGAAGACATATATGACTCTC